GCGGGCCACGCTGCGCCCGGATTTTCGCCGCACGATGGAATTTCGTTATTTCCATCCCAGGGAATCCTGAACGGCTTTCCCTTCCCCCGACACCGCCATTGGGGGAAAAAAAACCGAACGAAATGCGTTATCACGCGTGTCTGCGCGCGTTTTTCCCCGCGTTGCGTGCGTCGCATAGATCGATAGATCGTTACTCGAGGATACGTGATGTAAGATGAGCGTAGGGAATTATTCTCTCATGTGGATCCTTTATGGATTCGAAAATTTGATCGGTTTTGAAAGGAGGAAGATTTATTGTATTCGTTGTTCTAGTTGAATTGATAAAACTTTCACGATCAGTCGAGCAATTGGATAATTCTGATAAATGGAACTCGTTCAAAATTCGTGTTCCTTGGAATCGTTTTTCAATCAATCGCGATTATATTCTGTTTTAAATATTCGTTTCCGTGATAGAAATGAATTACATCAATGTATATAAAGGAGATGGAAACTTTACAACTTATTGGGGTTAATTTAAGAATTTTCTTTTATGAAGAATTGTTGTGAATTTCTTTTACCTCATTGCGATTATTGTTATTCCATTATATTCAATTCCTCCTCGTAATTGGGTTATAGAAGTATACGAAGATATAAATGTGAAAGTGGGGGGAAAGTTTGGTGGTATGAATATATGTAGGCCACGATTCTCAATTTTCGAATATAGAATATATAATTTTATTTATAATTCGAAATTTTTTTATGAAAAATCGAACGAAACAGAGATACTGTATCATGAAATTTACAACTCGATGTAAGTAAATATTGCATCGATAGTTATTGTATACTTCATGCGATATATTATAAAATAAATGTTATCGCAATGTACCAATAAAAACACGTTATTTGAATATTCATAAAAGATAAGCAAACAGTAAATATCGTACGTTCTACGTATTTTTTATCCCAACAACAGAAAAAACCACTTACAAATATTGCAGAAAATTAAATACCAATCAATATTGACCATATTTTTTTTTTATATAAGTGCTAATAATATAAAATCTCTATTATTTTAATTAGAAAATTAAAATCAAATCTGGTATTTCTAAGCAGTTCGATGAAAGAATCTTTGGATAATCCAATAACTTGACACTCTGAAATACTATTAATAGATATGAAAAATACGGTTTGAGAGGAGAATTAATCTACATACGGATATCAGAATGCAAGCGTACGTTTCTGATATACAATGGTTTCGATTAGACGGTAGGAAATGTATCAAGTTTAAATTGAATAATGCTTGTTCAGCAAAATGAGCCTCCATCGTGCGATAACGCCTGCAACGATAATATGTAATTCAATTAATATCCTTGGCGCGTGGGATTTGCCCGAGTTCGTACTACCAAACTACCATGTGTTCCCCTCGAATTCTCACTCTCGAGATATTTCCTGGCTGATCACCATTCCCCTATCGTCGACCTGTATCGCGTGAATATACATTAATTTTTTTTTTTTTTTTTCCCATTTTTGCCACGTTTTAATATCGGCCGCCGCTCAATTCACGAATTCACATTTGCTCGAATGTTCTCGACAATGTGAGAAACGATACGAGTATAACTGTTTAATTCGCTCTCTGTGCTTTAATTCGATTCGCGCTCATTTCGTTTTCGGTTAAAAATAATCGTTCAAATTAGTTCCGTCCGGGGAAGAAGTTTTGAAATTAACGGCAAATGTCTAATTGAGTTGAATCTACGTTAAATTAAATTATACAATAACGTTTCCAGAAAGTTGACCAATAAGGTTTAATCGGCGATTCTTAAGGCGATTTTCAAACTACTTTATCCTTTGCGAAAATTTTCGTTTCGAGTTAACGATTATTTTGTTATTGGAGGAAAAACAAATCCTAGGAGCTCGTGTTGCACTTATGCGATGGTAGTGTTGGGTATGTGCCGTCAACGAATCGTCGGGCTCGAACAAACAAATCGAAACAACAAATATGCTGAATTATTTACGAATAATGAATAAAGTAATTACGTTGCTTGATAAACAGCACGATATCTGCCTTGAAATTTCATCAAAAGAAATGACTATTATAAGTTCTTGTATTTAAGATTATTACCAATTGTTTTATCAATTGTTTACCCATTCTACTTTATATTTCCTTCAAAAAATAATATCCGTGTGAGAGATTCATACCTGAGTGTTTCTGGTATATCCGTAACCCATAAATCTTTCGTCGTGAGCCGGAACGATATCCTTTGCCACGTAGAACGGTTCGTAAAGGAATTCAAAGTTCGTCACGTCATGACTGACGTACACCTTCCCACTCTTCATATTTCCATACCTTTTATGATTAGGAGAGGTATCCAGTATCCATCTAAACGAACGTACAATTTTATTCATTAAACAAACAATAAAAAAAAGAATAAATAAATAAGAAACGTCCTCACCTGGTGAAATTGGTGGCGAACTGATTATGGATAAAGACTTTCTGATGGAAGGGTCTGGCCAACCCCTTCCTCGCCAGCCTCACCAATTCCGTCTTATTCTGCGGAAATCTGACGCGTGAGTCCAGCTCGTACGTCGGTATTACGTAGGCGCACTTATCACAGGTATCGGCTCTAAGAAATTCATCGAGGGCGCCGGTCAAATTGAAACTCGGCACGATATCTACATCGGTCAGGAACACGTAATCGGACTGGCAATTCTTCCTGGCCAGGTTCCTCATGTGATTCTGGGGGTACGCGTTCCGTATCCGCCAGTTGGCCTGCTCGTTCGATATTCCATTCATCAACTCGTTCAACGTCCCCTCGGGTTTGGCACAATCCACCATGTCGGGCGGGTCAAATTCACGCGGCTGCCTCTTCACCGGTCTAACCCTGGGCACGGCCAACGAGAACGCCACCCTTTCCCGTATCGGCTCGTAACACTTTCTCAGGTAAATCAGATACTTCTGAAGAACCTCGAACTCCTCGTCGCCTGCCACGTACAAGGCCACCGACATAGGCCCCGTCCAGTGGTGCGCCGCCTGGACGATCGAGTGCAGCTTCTCGACGGAGCTCTGCGTAGCCAGGCAAACCCGATACGCCCGTGACAATTTAACGAAACTCGATCCAACGAGGATGTGGTCGAAGGTACGGAACAATCTACGAGCATCCCATCTGCCGAGATTTATGTTCAATTTTAACTCGGTCGCGTCAACTGGCAACGATTGGTAATCTTGTGTGACGCAGTCCGATTGTTGCTGCTGCTCTTGCTGCGGCTCTTTGATTAAAGTGCCGAGGTTCCACTCGGTTATAGCGTTCGATCCCAAATCCCTCGGCATTATGATCGGGAGGCAAGTCTCCGACTGCAGCAACAGGAAAGTCAACGTGATATTCATGAGAACCAGAATAACCAGGCAGGTCAGACTTAAGTTCGATGGCCGACATCCC